AGTTTTACTACATGTGAAGGACAATATATATATATATATATATATATATATATATATATATATATATATATATATATATATATAACGAAGAACTTGGTAAACCGAATGGGTAATTCCAAGGAGGATGAAATCCTGAGTGCTCAATATTTAATGAAAACACAGACCACTTTAAGGTACCATTACAATAATTTATTTCACCAAAATCCTTTTTAAAGGACTCCGGATCATCAGGTAACACTTCCAACAACGAAATGAAAGGAAAATGGGATTAGAAATTAGGATCTTAACTGTCGTCTGTCTCCTCTCTCATTTCCATTTTTGCTTTTCTTTTCCCCCCACTACCTTCCCATTTCTATATATCATTTCCGTTAAGTTAACCATCTAAATAGGTCACGGTTCGGTCACTCCTCCTACTCCAATATAAAGCATGCTTAAGAGAAATATGAAATTAACCCCTCCCTATACTCTACCTTGTCTCGTTAACTACAACTATCACCCTCCCTGTTAAATTACACTACCCATCAATGTTCAATCCCATTTTTCCTTTCATTTCGTTGTTGGAAGTGTTACCTGATGATCCGGAGTCCTTTAAAAAGGATTTTGGTGAAATAAATTATTGTAATGGTACCTTAAAGTGGTCTGTTTTTTCATTAATTATATATATATATATATTTGTGTGTGTGTGTGTGTTTATATATATATATATATATATATATATATATATATATATATATATATATATATACAGACACTGACACCGACACACACATACATATATAGATAGATAGATAGATAGATATGTACATGTAGTGATTTGATTTAGTTTTTATACAATTTCTTATGTGATCCAATGTTTTTCTTTTCGGATGATAAATTATATAAAACTGTCCAATTGTTCTTTTTATCCGAGCGCGATCATTATATCCGAATGAGATCTAGCTGAGCTATGATCAGAAGAAATGGCTTTTTTATATAATTTGTCATCCAAAAAGTAATCAAAAATTAGATCATACGAGAAATTGTATAAAAAATTAAATCAAAAAGCACCTTGTCTGTCGTATTCAATGAAATGTGCATGAAAGAAGGATTGCTGAAGAAAATATGTGATATGGAAGAAGGAGAGAATGATGAGGGAAAATATAGCTTTAGTACACCCACACAGACTCATTTTTTTATATTAAGTATTTTTTGCGTGTTTGCATGTTATCATTATCTCAGACCTTTCATTTAGTAGGTGTCTCTCTCTGGATGCGGCATAATAGCCAGTGTTTTCTCCTGGCACAATCTATAAATGACATTACCAATTCCATATGGCTTAGCTTTCTTAAAAATATTCCAGTATACATTTGGTCTTTTGCCATATATCTCTTTTAACTCCTACACATGGCTCGCCACATTTGTATAACACTTGTAGTGTTCTAGCCTAAAGGATGATTGATGGTTGTGTCATCTTGAAGCAGCATTCGAAATACACTTTATCTAGAACTGTTCATCTCCCACCTCTCCCTTGTATACTACTCCTTCAATTGTATATGCTCCGTTTCGTGGGCAAATATTCTTGTTTCTACAGTAACACATATCATCATTTATGTCATTATCCTGAACGGCATCTTACATATTCTTAATATTCTACTGTTTAATTTTTTCACGTTGCCAGCACAACAATAAATTATTTTCACAGTATTTATGTTAAAAAATGTATGCGACTCAGAGCTTTTCGAAAAGTGTTTATAAAGTAGTTTAAAATCATTTTTCCAATATTTGTTTTCACAATTAGATTAAATGGCCGCTTGATATTTCCGATACGATATTTCCTTTTCTATTGATATTCCTCATAATTTGGGACGTTTGAGTTTTAAGTTCAAGTTTGGTTTGATGCCATACACTATTAACTCATTTTTATATACTTTATTTTTTTACCCGAAGACATTAATTTCAAATCTTTTATTTTAATATTGTACATTTTTATGAATCTTGTTTAAATATATGTATAGGCATTATTCATTATGTTTACATTTTTTCCTTTATATTTCGCTATTTGACTTTGTATAGTTATGTCTTTCCTTCGTTTTTATCGTTATCTTTAAGTTTTTTTTTAATACTTTCGTAAGCATGCTCTTGCAACCACACTTAGTGAAATACAGAAATAATATATATATATATATATATATATATATATATATATATATATATATATATGTGAAGATAGGAATCAGCTTCACATTTCAAAGAGGTCTTTAGAAATGTGAAGTTGATTCTATATCTAAAAAAATGTACTCAGTATCAGTGAGACGAGTTATAGTGTGGGCAATAATTTTTATGCCCACACTATAACCGGTCTCACTGATACTGAGTACATTTCTCTTGTAATTACAATAAATCTTAATATATATATATGTGTGTGTGTAGATAACGTATGTCAATCAGTATCTAATCTAATAATACCTCAGTTAATTTATTTGTGAAATTTTACGCGTTATTTCCTTGTTTTCCCAGTCTATCAAACTCTCCATTTGGCTTTTTTTTTTGCCTTGTGCCGTCTAACATCAAGCCTACTTTCCTTCCCCATTCTATCCACTTTTTATTCAATCGGTTGCTCCCTACTGAAATGTTGAAAAAATGAAGTATTTTTCTTTCTTCCTCTCTGCATTTACAATCCACACAAGGCCAAAATTGTTAGATCTATCATAATAGCGTGCCTGCGTGCTTCAGTACCTTGATAAGCTCGATACAATGATTGATGCTGAACCTTTATATGAATGAATCAGCTGTCGTCGATGCTTGCACAACCGCCGTGTCAAACTTAAAATGAGACACAATGATTTTATTATGAATTCTTCGCTTTATTCGCATACCTGGAAGGCTTGAGTTGCTCTCCATTTACCTATTAAGAATATTCTCCTTTTCTTTTAATTTTCTCACACGTAGTATCACATAGGCAAAAAAAGAGAAAAAAAATTACGCACAAGTAACAATCAGAAATCACTGATTCGCTTTTAATCCATGGAAAGAATTTTTATCGAAAAGAAGTATTTTGTTAACTTGCATTTGAACTAACCCTAACCCTGGAATGAATGATACAAACTTCCCGTAGGGTAGTAGGGTCACCATGTATACTGCAACCGCAGTTGAAGTGGTGTTTCTTGGTCAAGATAGTCCCCAGGACCATCAAATGTACCTCTGTATCCATTGCTATAAATTCCTGTTAAAAATTCTGAAAATAAAAATGTTGTGGTGTCAGTCTACCTGGATGTTAAGAGAAAAAATAAAATATGAGAGTCATGTCCACAAATATAACACGATTTTTGTACAACGCGAAGAAATAATCTTCGCAGAAAAGAAAGAAGACCAAGCTAAATATGACAGTAATATTTATACAACCAGATACGTGTATTTTCATATAAAATTCAATGTTTTTTTGTTCTGACCATGAAGAGACCAATAGTTCGATTGTTAGAAATGATTTTTCGCAAGTGAGTCTGAAAAGTTTCGATGTGTATTTGTTACAAGTGAGGAAATCAAATAGTATGGTACGGTAATATGTGTGCGTTTCTGAAGCTCACGCTAATGAAACGTGTATGACTGCTGACTGATTGCGTGCGGTAGCAGTAATTTCAAAACACGGTGAACAAAACGGGGATATAGGAGTTACTTTTGTCGTACCGCTTTATGTAGAACAATCATCGCTGATTGACGCCTTGTTATAGCAAGCTGTGTCTAAGCTGTTTATCGGGACATAATCTGGTAGGCTGACTGTCTTTCGCTGACTGTCTTTCATAGTGTCGTTGCAGATCTGGTAGAATATAGAATTGTTTATAGATAAATTTTCATGTATGTATGCTTACAAATTATACGTTGTCAAAAGATTAACTTCATGTTTTTAGAAGAATAACTTGCACAGTCAGTAAAAGCTTTTCCACAGCTAAAGAGGGACGTTTTACTATTCATAATTGACTTTCTGTAAAATGATTTTTAATTGATTCACATTTTACTGCTTTCGATAAATCCTCTCTAAAATAAAAATAAAATCATTGATAACTCAATTAAGGAAAAAGTATATAAGAAAGTAAATACCAAGTGATCAATAAGAGATTAAAATACAGAAGAAAACAAAATGACATTTTCGTGAAATTGGTGGCTATATTGTTAACTAGGAGCAGGTCGAATTCATATGGCAGGTTCCATCTATTCCAGACCATGTAACTCAATGACTACATTGGATTAAATGTAGAAATTTATGAAACCTTTTAATCTTAGGCTTTTGTTTCATTAGATAAAGATCCTAAAATTTAATTCCTTTAAGCATTATATTGTGATGACGTTAAAACAAAGACTTTATATTGTCTTCTCTCTTCTCAGTTTTATTTCTATTGTTTCAGCTGATTAATAATGCTTCAGATTTTTATTCTTTTACACACAGTAACCCCTTATGTCTTAGTGGCTTTACAACATTCCTTGGGGTTAATCGTGAATATTGTTGATAATATGACAATGATAGTAAAAGTATTTCCAACACCAACTGAATTCTATTCTCCTTGTAACGTGTGATGCTTTCTCTGGATTAACTGACTACTAATACTGATATTAAATTTACTTTAGGCATGGCTACTTACGAAGTTTAATTTTGAATGATCCATAGAGTGTTTTTTGCTAATCATACAATTTGGGCAGGCGTATCTGTTTTCAAATGCTGTGTTTCATATATCTGTTGCTTATAATTGTTCGATCTCAAATCGCTGACAATGTAAAAGAATAGGCAGATTCCGTAATTATTCAAGTAGTAAGGCTCGAATTCACAGATCCAACGAAAATGTTGAGAGAAAAAAAAATTAATTGAACTTTACGTCAATTTACAAAACTTTAAGAAAATTCATTGCCATTTTTAATATTTAATATTATTCCTTGTATATTGGAAAACTTTGTAGCATCATTTGTCATCATCAGAATTTTCTTGCCGCTTTTCATATTCGACAAGCTTCCCTCAATGTTAGAAAGCATCGATGTTATATTCTCTCTCTCTCTCTCTCTCTCTCTCTCTCTCTCTCTCTCTCTCTCTCTCTCTCTACCGTAGTCTTCCCAGTTCTATATCACAATTTTCATAGAAGCGGGCCTGGTCTGGTCTCTTTGTGTCCAGTCTTAAGTTATCTAAGTGAAGGACTAGATCTGCTGCTATTGGTATACAGTATAGATGGACTGATGTCAGAGTCTTCTGTCTGTTATCCCTTCTATTGCTTTCTCTCTTGATGTATAATGTGTAACATTAACCACCCCATCATCATTTACGCTACAGCCAATATCCAAATGGATTCTTAAATATTATTATGAAACGTCTACATTCGTTTTATGATGAAAAAAATATCAACAACTATATACTATCAGGCGTTGAATATTCCTCGACTTCATCTACTTCGCAATCTCACATATATATAAAATACAGTGTATGTGTGTATGTTTGTGCGTGTTTGTCCAAGCAACTCCTCCGCACCCCCTGGTCAAATATTAGTGATTCATAGCTCATTCAAAATCCCTCGAAAAGTTAGGCGCATGGAACGATTTTCGTTCATTTCAGATTCAGGGTTGCCAAATTATGCGATGTCAAAAATATATAATACATTAACTCGCCATTATCTTTGCTGTTATGATTCAAGGTGAGTAACTCTTATTTTCCTTTTGTTTTGTTTGTTTTGTTTTGTTTTGTTTTACGGCATATCAACATTTAATGCCGATGACTTTTTTTTCCGATAATATTTTTGTTTTGTTAGAAATCCATTTCAATCAATATATCTTTTCTCAGAAATATATAGCTGGTAATAGTATTTTTCCAAAAACGTATAGCTGGTTATAGTATTTTCCAAAAACGTATAGCTGGCATATCTTTTCAAAAACGAATTTCTGGTAATATTTTTCCTTTCAAAAATTTATTTCTGGTAATAATTTTTTTTATTTATTCCTCTACAGTTCCATTGAAGTATCTTATGTGTATTTGTGATCCTTGTTTTCCTGTTTGGTTCATTGGATTACTTTGTCTTTTAAGGTTTGTTTACATTTTTTCCTTCCAAAAACGCATTGCTGGCAACATTTTGCTTTCAAAAATGTATTGCTGGCAATATTTTTACAAAGAGTTTCAGGTATTAAAACACATTTTTACACTTTCACGGTGTTTTGACCCCAGTTACAGTTCCATTGATTAAGGATTTATTAAAAAACGTATAGCTGGTAATATTTTTCTTTTTCTTTTTTTTTTTTTTAAACGTATAGCTGGTAACATTTTTCTTTTTTTTAAAACGTATAGCTAGTAATATTATTTTCCAAAAAAATATAGCTGGTAATATTATTTTTCCAAAAGCGTATAGATGGTGATATTATTTTTCCAAAAACGTATAGATGGTAATATCGTTTTTCAAAAACGCACTGCTGGCAACATTATTCCTTCGAAAACGTATAGTTGGTAATAATACTTTCCTAAAAACGTATCGCCGAGAACCTTATTTTTTCAAAAAACGGCCTTTCTGTTGGACGTAGTTTATCGCCATACTCAGTATGTGGATGTAGTTTATCGCCGTACTCAGGACGCGGAAGCAGTTTTCCGTCATATCCATGGACGGAGATGCAGTTTACAGTCATACCCATGGACGCGGAACCAGTTTACCGTCATACACATGGACGGAGATGCAGTTTACCGTCATATCCATGGACGCGGATGCAGTTTACCGTCATACCCATTGACGCGGATGCAGTTTACCGTCATACCCATTGACGTGGATGCAGTTTACCGTCATACACATGGACGGAGATGCAGTTTACAGTCATACCCATGGACGCGGATACAGTTTACTGTCATACCCATGGACGCGGAACCAGTTTACCGTCATACCCATGGACGCGGATGCAGTTTATCGTTATACCTATGGACTCGAATGTAGTTTATCGTCATACACAGGACTTGGGCTAGACTGGGAGTTCACTATTTGCCCATAGCTGGGACCCTAACATGTGCTACCACCTCGGGTCATGGTGGACCTGGGAACACCAGCAATTAAGAGGTGGCTTCACGCTCCTCAAAACCTCCTGAACAGAGGCCTTGCTGTTGGATGTAATTTAACGTCATAACCAGGACGGTTTTTCCTTTTGTATCAAACTTTGTAGTGCACGTTTTCATTATAAAATAGCTTAAACTTAAATTAAGCCAGTTCCTGTGGAAGACTCGTACTTTGGTCAAGGAGTTTGGTTGAGGAGTAGACGCGGTCGGCATCAATAAACTACAGAACTCAAAATTGATTGCTACATTTAAGTATTGAATTAATGCTTAAGCTTACCTTTTAAAAGTTCAACGATAATTCTTCTTTCGCCACTTAATTTAACGACAATTTAATGTACGTGGATCCTTATTTTTCGTACAAACAATACATTTTATTTCATGGGTGACAGAACAGGGAACAATTTATGAAAGAAAATTAATATAGTGTAAAGATGGGAGAATTAGTTATACATTCAACATTTGAAGAATTATAGAAACGTACCAGCTGATTAAGTAAAACCTATATTATGGACACTATATGAATAAATGCGAAATTGGAGCTCAATTCTACAAAGATTTCTGAGTTTAAAAAGCCCCAGCTCTACTTTATAGCTATTTGGTACTCGACATTCCACGCAGTAGCGTTGTGACACATGGTCGGTTTAATGTGGGGAGCCCAGGCACGTATATCCGTGCTAGAAAGAAAAATTCCCCAAGCGGCCACAACCCTCTCTCTGATGCAATGAAAGGGCGCTGCCTCGGGCCAACCGTCATTGTAATTTTTTCACTTCTGAATCTATCCTTTGAGCGCACTCTACCCAAAGAGAGAGACGCAATTGAAAGATGATAAACAAACGTGTTACAACTTACTTTATATTAATTTGTATTTACTCAAACCCTCACGAAGTCAGGTTGTGACACGGTTTAATGTGGGGAGCCCGAGCGCGTACACCTTGGTTAGGAACAAAAATTCCCGAGCCTCTGCAACTACCCCAACTTAGACAGGTTGTGACACAAGGTTCGTTTTAACGTGGGAACCCGAGGCTCTTCACTCGGGCTGCTGGTTTCAGCTTGTCCAAGCTGGTCAGAGCTGGTCTATGCTAGTCTTAGCTGGTTCAAACTAGTCATAGCTGTGATACTACCAGCGCAAGGACGGATCCCTGTAACCGGTAAGTACCAGAATGTGTAAACCACTCGAGAGAAAGAGGAATTTACACACTGTATTTACTTGCCCCCCCTCCCCACTAAGTCAGGTTATGACACAAGGTCAGTTTTTAACGTGGTGACCGGATTGTCTTCACTCGGGCCGCTGGTCTTATCTTGTCATAGCTTGTCCAAGCTGGTCAGAGCTGGTACAAGCTAAACATAGCTGTGATACTGCCAGCGCAGGGACGGATCCCGGTAAGTTTTCGAATATGTATACCAGACAAGAGAGAGTAATTTACATACGGTATTTACTGTTTTTCCCCACTGAGACGAGATGTGACACAAGGTCTTTTTTAAGGTGGGGACCCGAGCGCGAAAACCTGGTCCAGGTACAAAAGTTGTCCACAGCCCTCGCAACCGTCGGTTGCGCTGGCCTCGGTGGGAGCACCGATCCTTCTCTCTGGTGCAATGAGTTGGCGCGGTCTCGGGCAGCTGTTCCACAGGGCTGCACACCTCTCAGTATAATTTTTCTCAGTGGTCTCTCTGTCCTTTGACTGAGTAGCACCGGAGCGCACTCTGCCAAACGACAGAGACACATCTGAGAGATGATAAACTCGTCGAGTGGAAATTGCACATGGTATTTACCTGACAATCCCCCACTGAGTCAGGTTGTGACACGTTCAGGTTTTAACGTGGGGACTCGAGTGTCTTCACTCGGGTCGCTGGTCATAGCTTGTCATAGCTTGTCCAAGCTGGTCAAAGCTAGTCTAACCTAGTTATAGCAGTTCCAGGCTGGTCAGAAACGGTTCAAGCTAGTGATAGCTGTGATACTAGCAGCGCAAGGGCGGATCCCTCTGATCAGTAAGTATCCGTATGTGTATACTCATCAAAAGAGGAATTTACACACGGTATTTACACGTCCCCACCACTAGATGTGACACAAGGTCATTTTAAAGTGGGGACCGAAGCACGCACACCCGCTGGCCTCGGTGCGTGCACCGATTCCTTTCTCAGTTTTCTCAGTTGTCCCTCTGTCCTTTGACATAGAAGCCTCTGAGCGCAACTGAGAGATGGTAATCCATGCGTTAGAAGCTCCCAAGGGAGGGATTTACACGGTATATACTTTATCTCCCACTGAGTCAGGTTGTGACACAAGGTCGGTTTTTGACACTCGGGCCGCTGGTTTTAGCTTGTCCAAGCTGGTCAGAGCTGGTCTAAGCTGATCATATCTGGTCCGAGCTAATCATAGCTCTGATACGACCAGCGCAGAGGCTGTTCTTTGTGACCGGTAAGTAGATACTTACATGAACCTCCACTGAGTTAGGTTGTGAAACAATATCAGTTTTTAAAGTTGGGACCCAAGTGTCACTTCTCCAAACTGATCAGAGCTGGTCTAAACTTGTCATAGCTGGTCCATGCTAGTCGTAGCTGTGATACCACCAGCACAGGAGCCCTGTGGAATGTAATTATCCGAATATGTATACTACTCAAGAGGGGATTGATTTACTTGACTCCGCACTGAGTCAGGTTGTGACACAAGGTCGGTGGTCTTAGCTGGTCATAGCTTGTCCAAGCTGTTCTGAACTAGTCATAGCTGGTTTTAGCTGCTCCAAGTTGGTCACAGCCGGTCCAAGCTAGTCATAGCTGTGATACTACCAGCACAAGGACAGATCCCTGTAACCGGCAAGTATCCGAATGTGCATACCCCTCAAGAGAGGAATTTGTATTTACTTGACTCCCCACTGAGTCAGGTTGTAACACAAGGACTGTTTTTAACGTTGGGACCAGAGTGAAGACCCGCTGGTCTTAACTTTTCCAAGCTGGTCAGAGATGGTTTAAGCTAGTCGTAGCTGTGATACTACCAGCCCAGTGTCGGATCCCTATTACCGGTATATATCCGAATGTGTATACCCCTCAAGAGAGGAACTGATTTACTTGACTCCCCACTGAGTCACAAGTGACACAAGGTCGATTTTTAACGTGGGATCAAGAGTGTCTTCACTCGGGCCGCTGGTCTTAGATGGTCATAGCCATGATACTACCAATACAGGAGCGGATATCTGATACCGGCAAGTATAACCCTCAAAATTTTCAAACTAAAAGCTCAATATCTATATTATATATTATCTAATTCTAGGCAATATCACTCTTCAGGTTTAACTAATTTGCATATTGATTTTAAAAAAGTTTATTTCATTAATTAACTCTCCTTCATTACTGTTCTTTTATTCGAGGATTGTTTTGATTTTCATATCAAAATAATTCTGTTTAATAATATCGTCTTATATAGTGCAGAAAAGTGTTCGAAATTTGCATTTTACTTGGCCTTCAACAAGTTGGCATCTATTTGTAGAACTTTTCTTAACTATAACAAGTTAATTTATGAATAAAATGTCCATTTAAAATTTTTGTTTCAAATATTTCAAGTAGTGAATATATCTTACTTTGCGAAGCGATAGCGAACGGGCGAAACCTTCTAGTATTTCATAAAGTTAAATTTATACATTTGTGCATGCACAAAAGAGAAAGTGAGAAACAGTGAGAGATACAAGATACAGAACGCAAACCGAGACAGTTTGCCGTGAAGATGACCACAATTAAATTCTGATAGACAATATATTCCAAATCTAATTAGATTTTCGGTTGTTACTCTCCTGAATGAATTTTTATTGAAATGCAAAGAGAGTCTGATGTCCTAAAAAATAAAAGTGTTTTCACTGAGCCAAATAATATAAAAATGTAACAACTCACAGTGGAGTGAGAGGAGAAAAGTAATTGGCCGACTACATGTTCAAACATTAAAAATCTGTGACACGAATATAATATTCAGCCAATAAATCTGATGCAACTTCTGAACATAGAAAGCATAACCATAAGCAAATATTTATGCCGTTCAGATATTGTGACGTCCCTAAACACAGCCTTCGCTCGCTCCTTGCTGCTTCGTTCGGGTGTCGCCGCTCCAAACGTGACGTCCGCCTGTCGCGTCAATCGTGTTGTCCCGTCCTGTGACGACCAACTGGCTTGGTATCGGTCGCGGCACCCAAATGTGACGTTCTAACATTTTGGTGATTCGGATGGGAATCTGGTTAGATTCGATATCAGCCTCGTCGTTCCCAACTCGCTTCCACCGTCTGGTTACCAAAGTAACTGCATTGATTTCCAGTCTGCCTACCCAGGTTGTGAATTGATCTTAGGCAGACGAAATCAATCAGTCGTTAGGGCCGTAATGCAAGTTGGGTTCAAGCGAGTGTGGTATCGCACAAATATCTATAAAAGAAATAAAATGATAACTCAAAAGTTCAAGGTATCAAAAAAAGGATAACAATACTTTATGTCTAGTTGCTAGATACATAGGACTGCGTCTATCTCCCGACCCGTTATATGGATTGTGACACGTAGTTTTTTGTTAGGCGAGTTTTAACACTTTAAGTTGTCTGTTCTTTAAGAAATTGGTTCTTGGTGTGTCTTCAGGCGAAAGTCGAAAAACTTATTTTGGTGGTATGGATCTAAATCGCTCTTCAAAATAAATTGTTCTTGGGTTGAAGACGAGTTCGGAAGTTGCGCGAATGTTAGTCAGCTGCGAAGCCTGGTTCAACTGAACACTCTCCTCTGCTGAACTCTCCGGGAAACTCTCCGGGAAACTCTGATTTTCGCTCGCTGCGACTTTACTTATATGGTCGCCGACCAAAACCGGGGTGGGTTTGTCGGGGCCGGAGGTTCCTCGATAATTCTAAATACATACCCACTTCTTTTATTTTTTCCACTTCTTTCCATTTTTGGTAGTCTTCTCTTACTCCCACCTTCTCACCATACTTCAGAGGGGCGTCAACGGTCCTCCCCACTTCTTCGTAGCAACTTCTCATACCCATCCTCTAAATGGGCGGCGGCGGCTTCCTCCTTGCGTCACGTGATCACCTCCAATGATGTCCTGCCGGGCAATGCGATCCAGCTGGCTTTGTTTCAGGAAGAAAAAAAAAATATCTTGCTAAAAAAATGATCTGTTTCTTTTCCTTTTCTTTCCTTAATCGCAGCTCTCATCTTCTCTGGCCGCCAACAGAACAATGCGACCAGTAGTGTCATAACCTCTATTCTCATCTGGACTTCGTCAGTCAGATTTTCGCTAATCATCAGAATGGATGGTCGTCCAGCAAAACACAATCGACCGTCGTCTCGATAAAACAGTTCCATTGTTCTAGTCATTCCTGGTGCCAATTTCTGATAACATAGTTTTGTTATCACAACCGAACTCTAACACCTATAGATGTCTTGTCAAAAAACGGTCAGCCGTTACTCAAGGTTGGCTTCGTGTGCGGCTTAGCAGACGACACAGTTAATTTTTCTTATCTATCAAAGCCCTGTATTTCACCTGTTCTTTGTCAATTATCAAAATAACATTATCAATTGGAGTTTTCTTAGCTAGTCGGTCTGTGGTTTGCTAATTAGATGTTTGCCCGCATTAAGCGGCTGTTATCTATCCCCGATAACACAAGTTCGTCGCCAGAACATAGTCGATTCCCTTATCCACTTAGAATTTTTCTGCAATGGTAATGACACCTTTTCGCCATTTGCTACTTATCAAAATAACATTGTAAAGGCCCCTGGTCGTGGGTGGTTTCTTTTATCATCTACGCTTAAGTCTCGCCTCTCTTTTCCTTTCTTTCCTTTCTCTTTTTCCTTTCTTTTCTTTTTGCCCTGGTAAATGGTGCCACATATTTATGTATGCTGATATTGCGAAGGTAGCATTTATCTAACAAATGGTTTGATTTGAGAGTTCCTTGATTAGAATTTCCTCCGAAAACATGGTTTAAGAAGTGATAATCTTGCATAGGTCTCGCTGTCAATAATTGTGTTTTAAAATTTTCATATATATATATATATATATATATGTGTGTGTGTGTGTGTGTGTGTGTGTGTGTGTGTTCATATCTTCTTCGTATTTTAGATGAAATAATAAAACAATCAATATGAATAAGTCAATAATGCCGGAGCCTATTGATGAAAAGTTAATAAATAAACACCTGTTATTTTAGTATATTGTTTTATAATTTATAATGTAATTCAGTGGTACCACTTGACGGAAATTTGACTGAAGAATTTAACACTTTCCAGATATATAGAACTTAGAGAAGCAATTCAAAACATATAGTAACATTTTTGACGATATTTTGTGAATTGATGACGAAATAATGACGATGATATGTTAAAGGGCCAAAAGTTAGAGTAATATAAAAAATAAATTGTGGAGAGTAATGACTGCCTTCATGTTAAGTAGAGATGGCACTTAGAGCAGACACATAAAATGTCTACAGAGAATGCAGACTCAAAATTAGACAAAGAGTGTTATAGATCAAATTTAGTTATTAATCGCATAAAAATGATTATTGTTATACTCTTGTATATATATTACTTCTCACGTAATCACAGATTACTGGTTGATAACTGGCATTTCAATATATCGTTTTTCTCTGTTTTTCATTTCCTCTATCTTATTTTTCATACTTTTGAGTGGCGTCATCTGAGTGAATTCTCTTTACAGAGTCCAAGCTAATAATAAACTGTTGAAAGCTAACAAGATGATGCAATGCATGTAGTAAAACATGCTGCTATAGACACGATTTCAACTTGTCCATGTTTGGCTATAAATAGGTTTCAGCATTCGTATACTTTTGGAAAACTAAAAAGAATGGTCCTCGACAAGAAAAGGTGTATTCAATTAAATGTTTTTGGGAGCCTATTAGTTTACACTTACAAATAATATAACAACTCCTGGATGCTTTTACGGATTACAGATTTCGAAAGATTAAGTTCAACAGCCACATAAAAGAGTTAGCGTCTTCTGTTAGCTTGAATCATGTTTTATTCTGATAGTGATGAACGCTGCCTCTTTACAGGAGAATTAACCAGCATATTTGCACTCCTGCATTTAAACGTTCTTCACTAAAACGATAATACATATATGATACCCACAGCATAATTACCAGTGAATCTTTATTTTTAATTTTTGCTCTTGGTAGGCAAAATACACTTCACAGTTGTTTATTCACACTTGTTAGATAGCAGCTATCATCACTAGGGGTATCATGAAAACTGCTCCCGGAATAACTGCCCCCGAACAATTAACCCTGTTAATAGAAAATTTAGAGAAAGCACAACTTTGGACGTGGATAAATACTAATAAAACTTATTAGGGCTTTATTCCATATTTTATTTGTTATCCAATAAGACGATTTATCTAATAATAAATGCATAAGAATTATCTAGTAATAATATATATATATATATATATATATATATATATATATATATATATATATATATATATATATATATATATATATATATATATATATATATATATAAAACTATGATTATATCACAAAATTACGAATTGTGGGTTATACAGTGTGACCCAAAAAATGTGAATTTTTGAAGTGCGTATTGCCAGACATGAGCAAGTGGCAACACTGCGATGCAGTGACCTTGAGCAAGTAAACATTTAGAATTCAAGATGAAATTCACAGTATCCCAACTGAGATGTTGCAACAGTCAATGAGGAATCTCAACAGCAGATATCAAGAATGCATTCGTAAAGGAGGACGCCATCTACAGGACGTAATTTTAAAAAAAATGAAAATTCCATCATTGTTTCTTAAATGGCATGTTTTAAGGTTTCAATTACTATGAATAAGATATTTTTCTTCCATCACTCTTGGTTTTATTGAATTGTTAAAAACTTCCCGTTTTTTTTCTATACACAAATACAATAATTACATAATTAATAACTGTCTGTATAAATTAATGTTTAAAAAATAATAAATAATTACAATAATCAATTCTTAAATTCCATGTTATCAAATAAGAAGAATTATCCAATAATAAGATTTATATTTTATATCACTATAATTATACATCAGAAATTGCTAATTATGCGATATATATCTCAAACATCCAACACATGGCTCTTTTCGAATACCGCTTAGACAGTGTTGTTGGATGCCTTGTAAGTATCTGATTGATGCTGACGCTGGCCAGTGTCTGCTCCCTCTTAAGCACGTCAAGAAATTTCCATATCTTCGGATGGAAGGAAAAAATGTTAGCTTGCATTATTGTCTTCCTGTACGTATGCGTGCAATATTAAGTAAGTTTTGGCTGTTATGAGTAGTAATTATTTCGTAATACAGTTTTCATAATAGTTTAATTCTAATCGATTTGTACCTATTTGTACTACTTAGATAACCCATGTAGTTTTTTTATGCAGTTATATCTCAATATTTTTCATTAATCTTTTCTAAAAATGTCTCATTTAACGCTGTTTAGAATCATTTCTTCACATCTATCTTAATGCTCTTTTATATTAGTTTTTTCTTCAGTCTTTCTTACTTTATCGCTCTTCTTATTTATTACTTTCTTTCTACTTCATTCTTTATTTTGATCTCTTTTTCTATATTTTCTTTTTGTGTTCTTTCTCATAAGCGTTTCAGCATTAATTTGCTAACATCTTTTCGCGTGCTTCATTACCGTCATCCCATTCAGAAGTGTCGAAATATTAAACAATATAAAATCAATGGCTAAAACAAAAAAAAAACATTCCCAAAGAATAAACGCTGCAGGTCTTAGAGATAGGGCTATCCCTCTTCGAAATTGGGAGAACGGCAATGCAGACTCATAAATCAAAGAAAAAAGAATGACATAATTAAGATGTAGACGTTCTATATCAGTTCAAACGCAAGAAGAAGAAAGATTCAACCAATGCATGAAGGAGTAACAACAGCGCGCTTGAAAACCCATTTACTTGAAAAAATGTTTTAGTGAATTTCAATCGAGCGTAGCACGGATTGTTTTGTTCAATGAATGCTGAATGTTTGCATATAAGGAAACGGATAATATTAACATTAACATGAAGATTACCATTATAAATTTCAAAATCTTATTTACAGTTAGCGTCCTTTCTATTATTTACTTTAATGTTTTGCATACCGAATTATTGCTAATTATGATATATTTTCATAATGCTTCAATATTTGGCTAGGTTTTTTCGCAGAATCTTTAATGTCGATGTTATTTTAATGATTTCTTCCATCAGTTAATTATTCTTTGAATTCTACAGACAAGAGTAAGGCTATAATTTTCACTTTTAGCTGTGCAAATATTAAAAAATAAAAGCTTTCTGATCAAAAACATCCTATTGAAACGCAGGTAAGTTAATTATGTATATTATATACTCGAAGTCAATTATTCGATATTATTTTTCTTGTGCAGGTCTTGCAAATCACAAACATCTGTGAGTAACGTATATCCAAAATAGATAAACCTTTTAAAATGATAATAAAAATCTACTTCATTTGTCATGTTAAAAGGGTAAGAACATTTTTGACAGGTTCAAAAGATTACTTTGTCAATCATTGCAAGAGATGCCTAAATGAATTCGTAACATAGATTGCTTTCGAAATGAAACAATTTTCAACTCAGCTTTTATAATAATAGTTATTTCTGAAAATATTATGCTTACTCATCCCGACCTTTTTTCTCAATCCATTGCTGCGTCATTTGCACGTCTCAATAACATACTGATTGAATAGAAGGTTTTTCAGGTATTATTTAGAATTATATCGCGACGTGATTTTCTTGGATGTTTTTAAAGAATATTACACACCCTCATAGTAATGGTAATATTAGCCGTTTCTTATAAGGAAACTTTCAGCCCTCATTAGCCGAGCAGCCAGTGCTGCTGTGAATTCATGTAATCAGTCTTTGTATGCTTGCTAAACATTGCTCTGATAATTGCTGCTGATTAATTAAAAATAAGCGTATTAATATATAGTTAGTAAAACAGAACAGTCGAATTAAAATATTTTCCAAATACCGAAGGAAATTATACTTAGTTTTATCAAAGTAAATTAAATTTAAAATTTTCTGTCCGCATTCTTTTATTCTATAGTCTATTTATTCTCCAATGATTGATAAGTTTTTTCAGCTATTGTTTCAGGAGAAATACTTAAGATTAATTTATTTTTCCTCTGGGATTCACAGAAGTGAAATTATAATTAAATAAACGAGTTTAAAATAAGATTCTTTAAATTTTATTAAGTGAAAGAAATGATGCCGATGTAAGCTTATCCTTATGAAGAAACAACATGAAAATTAATTTAATTCTGATATCATTTTATCCTTAAAAAATTTAAAGTCGATTTTTATTTTTATTTAAAACTGTACTCTTGATTTATTTTTTCTCGAATATAATCAGTTCAAAATTGACTTCAACTATCGTTTTCTAATTCACATGGATAGTAAATGAAATATATTTAACCAATTTAACTTTATTGCTTTTAGATTCTGCATAATATATATGTTTTGCGTAACGCATGTTCAAATGTTTACCAAGACTTGAACAAATGTCTCTTTAAAACAAGCTAAAAATCACTGCTTAATGTGTGCTTCAAAGATATGGGCGTTATATGATAACAGATTATTTAACACAGCTGAACAAATTACTTGATCGGACTCATCACTTTTAGTTTTATTCAAAATGAGAGTTGTCTGTGAAATGATTTTTAAAGCACAGTTTGTTTCATCAAATATCTTCTGAAGCTTTAAGAAGATATGTGATCCATTAATCTTTCGCAGCGTCATGGAATGATTTCAGCAATATAAGATGTCTTTCGAAAATCTTAATTGATTGAACAAATAAATTGTATCTCTTCTTTAGAAGGAAGTCAAATTCCATCCTCCACCGTAACAGTTGATGATACTTGACACTACGTGATTTGTTTCTTTAAAGCTTCTATATTTGATAGCATTAACTTATATATGAAGAACAAAATTTAAGTTAGTGCCATTACTCGATAGGAGAGAGAAATCTAAAAAAGTGAGGTAATACTGTCAAGGGAAACGTAAGTGTTGATAGTATAATCTGAGTAAATAACTTATGTGTTTATTTCCTTAGAGCCTCAATTTTTAATTTAGATTTTAAAATCGTTGAAAGTCCTATGAACTAAGAATATCATACTTATTATAAAACCCAGGTTGTGTGTGGCTGTTCGTTTATATATTGGATCGGATTTCCTACATTTTTCAACCGATTTCAACAAAACTTTACAGGACTACGTGAAATTACCTTGCGGTGGTTCTGACAGCGGCAAAAATTGGAAAAACACAATTGTTTTTGCACGAAATCGATTTTAAAAACGATTAAGGGGCATCGCTCTCACGAGAATGAAAGGGGGACAACTCATATCAAGTTATACTTATCATAAAACGCAGGTTGTGTGTGTGTGTGTGTGTGTGTGTGTGTGTGTGTGTGTGTGTGTGTGTGTGTGTGTGTGTGTGTGTGTGTGTGTGTGTTCGTTTATATATGGGATCGGATTTCCTACATTTTTCAACCGATTTCAACAAAACTTCACTTTTCTTTTTTTTTTGGCAGGTAGTGTTTCTTATTGTCTTGCACACTTTTTTCTTTATTTTTACATTCAGAATGCTTTAAAAATTCCATTTACAAGACAATTGTTTATAATAAAATTCTATTCAATCGGTAGACTCATAACGATTGAAAATAATGCTTTTGTTTGAGTTTGGGTTTCACCAATTCGTAAAAACAAAACAACAAAACAAAACAAAAAACTAATTAAGACATGCGTGTCCGTCAACCTTAAACAATAATCTTTGTCAATTTTATTTTTTTAGTCTTTATGATGGTCGATACTTGATCTATCTCTTACTGTTACATCCCCGGGCAATGCCGGGCTCTACTGCCAGCATTTTATATTTACTGTCGTTTTTTCTGCCTACACCACAGCCACACAGGAAAAGAAATAATATTAATTGCGTCGGGTAAATTTATTTTCTTATTTTGTAAATTGGTTCATTTGATTAAAAGTAGATTTTTCATCGATAATTTTTGAGCTGGAAGTATTCTGGCGAACAGCCAAACATATCGCTATTCTTTGATGATAGAATATGCCCCTGTTTCGTGAAGCCCTTTATATGTATTTTCCCAAAGCGTTGATTGAATATTCGAGAATTTTAACGGTTAGGTAAATTTGATCACTTCGAGATGACATCCAGATATGTTCAATGATTAGCTACATCTCGTATATCGTAACATATGCAGCTCAGACATTGAGGTCTGGCCTCCGGTGAATCATCTTCCTAACCAATTCTGAAAGTCTTTAATAAGGCTGAACCTAATATATTGACGAATTTTGTCAACACTCACATGCACAGGCATACACACACACACGGCCCCGACCCCCAACCCCCATATATATATATATATATATATATATATATATATATATATATATATATATATATATATATATAAATGAAAATATAGTTTAAATGTGTGACAGATAAAGCGTAGCTAAAAATAAAAATGGAAACTGTGATCAACACTGCGTTTAAGCATTTAACAGATTTGCTCAAAGTGCTGTTGACTGCAATGTACAATTATATATAAATATACTTCGGGATAGAAGCGTTATATATATATATATATATACACACATATGTATATACACACATATATATATACACACACACACACACCTATATATATATATATATATATATATATATATATATATATATATATTAATGCATGGCTCGTTATCCAGAACAGTAGATCTTTTTGAGATCTCAATTTGCTCACAATCGGTCACCTGCAAATCGCATTCTCCGTTCGCGTGAGATTGTGATTTAGTTTGATGTTGTCTCCAAGAAATGTTTCGAATCTCTCTCTCTCTCTCTCTCTCTCTCTCTCTCTCTCTCTCTCTCTCTCTCTCTCTCCAAGTGTAGGTTCCATCAAGCTTGCATTTTCGGGCTTTAGTTAATGTCCAAGCAGTGGTACATATAGATGACGTAATCTAGTTATCACTGCAGACACCATTACCAATGCCACAGTTTTTCTACATCAACTAGAAAATTTTGCCAATGATGATTGGCTCTATGGCAATACCTCTAAAACTTAATTCACAGGTTTTAACCAGTAAGGCTCAACACAAACCGTCTCAGGTGAATCCATAAAATCAGTTGTATAATTTAAAATTTACTGACGAGACAACGGTTAAAAATATATGTACAATATTCGCAAGAGAGACACGTAAATGTTACTGGATAAATAGTGACAAAACAAATGATGTCATTTGAATTTATTTGCCTTCTTGTTACATATAATGTTTACACGACCCGCACGCGTACCTGTAATTGCTTGTGGATGCAAACCGTGAACAGCCAGTTAGATAAGGGACAAGCACTTTAAAGTAACTTTGGTGTCAGAAATTCTTGGGAGATTGTCAAGCAATCTTCCTTTTTCACCATAAAGTTGAATCTTTCGGTACATGAAGTGGAATGAGAATATTAAACCAATTGTTAGGTCAGCTGCTAGGAATGTTGACTAAACTTTTCATGAAGATATTTTTTCGCTAGATTCCATCTTGCACGAGTTTATAAATGTCCTATACGTCTGTGCGTTAAATATGTTGCCACATTTTGCCTGGTTCTTCTGCTATAAATCAGGAGATTCTTGACAAAATACAAAGATGGTTCTGTGATACTATCGGTCCTGATCTATTATCTCGACATCAGTCACTTTCCCATCATCGTAAACTCATTCCCCTGTTACTTTTCTATAAATATTTTCATAGCAGCTGTTCTAATGAGATTTTCTTTTTGGTACCTTGACCATGAATTTAAGCGTGGTCGTAAATTGGCAACTAGGTTTCATCATCTTACTGTTTAATTAGCTAGTTGTAGTAATCGAACTTACTTCTGGTCTATTAGATTCTTCTCTCACACTTCTCATCTGTGAGAAACTTTTTCCCATTTCTTTCTTTCCGGTTAACTCCGATCCTCAAACATTTAAATGCAACATCAATCGCAATCTTTTGTCTACTTGAATACTGTTCTTTTATTGACCTATCTCCTTACTAAGTTTTTCTTGTTTTCTTTCACTCTCATAACCATCTTGCCTCCTATTTCAATTATCATATTGCGTGTGCTGAAATAAAAAATAAAATATTAGAATATGTCCACCTTATTGTCGACATCAACAGCTTTGCCCTGTCGACATTCTTCGTGTTCGAAATCATCACATTATTTGAATCTTATATGGAGGAATAACTTGCAACCCAAGATATTCGGGAATTCATTTGGATCCTAAACAGCTTTAGAAGTATGCCAAATGATGTGTATAACTTAACTTTACTAGAATTTACTAAATCAACTGTGTTTTTATTTATTAGAATGCAACACAATATGCTGCGTAATTTCCTAGCTCACGGAGCTACAAGTAACTTATTTTCAGATTTAGGCAGTGCATTTATAATAAATGAAAAACTAAAACCGGAAATGTTTCATTATTATTTCATAATCGGACAAAATTTTACAACGATTTAGTTGCTTTGTTAAAAACAAAAACTAACTTGTTATCAACGGTTCAATTGCAACTGTTCTATACTTTTTTACTCCAGACGATCTTCCAAATCTTCCAGAAATTATAACTATTGCCCGCTCACCGTGGAGGCAGTATAATCCACAAGTGGGCTCTGTGAGTTTTGAACAAACAAAAATGTGTCTGCAACAGAGAATAGAGCGACCTATCATTAAATACTAAGGATTAGTACTCTTTTAAATGGTGTGTGTGTTTGTAAATTGTGTGCAAGGTGCAGAAAGGTGGACACGTCTTCAACTTACAAATACGGCCAGAAAATATATTGTTCGTATACAAGAAAAATATAATCGACAAAAGTTTACATGGCCAATCATTTTGAATTCAATCTATACACACGCAAACACACACACACGCAAACACGCACACACACTTTCCCACTCTCTGTTTCTCTCTCCATATCTATCTATCTATCTATCCATCTCTCTCTCTCTCTCTCTCTCTATATATATATATATATATATATATATATATATATATATATATATATATATATATATATATATATACAAGCACATTGACGACAAAGTCATAATTTAATGTCGTACTAAGCGAATAAGAAAATCAACATCAAATTTATCAGTATGTTTTATTTATCTTCACATAGATAACGTGACATCGATTATGCCTTGTTTCTTTTACAATGATGTTTACTCTTTACAAGGCCTGAGTACTACTCAAGCTAGAGATTTACTGAGTAGGAGCCAAAGTTTATGCGGATATGTGGGAAAGATAATGAGTAATCATAGATTTGAATACTGTAGTTATCGGTGAAACATTCTCTTGGAATTCGGTTCCACAAGGCAGCGGTTCGTCGGAAGAAACTGCTCGAGTGGTAGTTACATCTCATCAATACGAAGGATATCAGGGTGGTTCGCGTCAAAGGGCATAGCGTGGCTGGTCTTAGCAGAGAATGCTAGAATTGTTGGAATTGCAATTTGAGAAATTTCCATGAAAATATCGACAGAGCAGCGTGTGGATGGCGACGTTTCGTCTGTGCAAAAAGAGGATGTAGGGTGGAAAATAATTTTTCACCAACTGGGACACAGAATCTCTATTAGACTTTGTTGAAACTGAACATTGAAGACTGGGCAACTCCAGCCCATATATGTCAACATTATTTTCTGTCCGATCTGACTTGTAAAGGTAGAGGATATCAGGAGTGTTACAGGGAACCTACACTTTTTCCAGTGTCTTTCTCGGTGGATCGTATGTACAAGTTCCACTTGACGTATCTGTTGATTTTAAGTCCCAAGAGGCGATTTATAAATAATATCAAATTTCAACGGAATATTTACATTTGATTAATTTGCTTTTTCTCATGACATGTCATCGTGGAAAATGTACCTATTTTATCATAATGAAAACCTTTTGTAATTTTTTTTTGTGTCTGTGTACTTATGTGTGTGAATTTTTATAGCTTTTGTACTTGAAAATGTAAACATAACATTAAGAGATGACGTTCCCTGAATGTATCTGAGAACTTAAGCCTTTCTTAATAATTTATGAATATCAACAAAAAATCCAGTTCGTTATTAGGAAGGATACTAAGTATGTACACATGCATGTGTGTACTCATTTGTACGAACCATTTTAGCTTCTTCTCTCGCTTCCCTCACACTCTCTCTTTTACACACACACACACACACACACACATAATTATATATATATAATGGACTCTCTCTCCCGTCGGTTTCGACGTATGAGGATCTGACAACTTATTGATTCAGTTATGAAATTTTGTGCGATAATCTTAAGTGGCATTTAAGACCCGCTAGTGATTTACAAAGGAGGCCACATATGGAGCAAGTGTGAGGATTGTGAGATGAGATCACTATTAGATTGAATGACCTTTTTGATCTTGCTCTCACCTCTTGAAGATGATTCATACAAGCAGATTGAAAATTGCTGAGTCCACTAAAACACGTTGATCTCCATTCTACCCGCTCCAAGGCTAAGCGCTCAAGGGTGTTATGTGGTATATTGACTGCTGACAAGTTGCTTTTCAGCTTGTCTTTCTATGTTAGCCATGGGTTTCCTACATTCCTGTAGCCCTGATCTAACTGGCTGTACATTAGGATCTTGGGTATCCTGTCATCAAACATTCTCAAGACATGACCAGTCCACCGTAACTGAGACTGTATAATAATATTACACCTGTTAAACAGGTCTACGTGAGATGTTCTATCTTGAAGCTTAACTCCACAGATTGCACGCAGACAGCTTTTATGGAAAACATCTAGCTGGCGTATATGGTACCTATATGGAGTCCACGACTCTGGACCATACAAAAGGATGGCATGTACAACAGCTCTGTAAACCCGAATTTTCGTATCCAGTCGAATACCCCGCTCATTCCACAAGCGATGGCGAAGTTTGTCGAAAGCACTGGTAGCCTTAGCAATCCGATGCATGAATGATTTCATCATCTAAATTTCCACTGTAATTGACTTTGCTACCAAGATAGTTGAAAGACTTTACATAATTCAGGGGTCTGTCTTCTATCTTTCAATGGTCTCTCTGAAAATTTGTAGACTGGTGGTTTTTGTTCCTCTATTTATTCAATTGCTTGAGTAGGACAAGGTTGGTGCACAACTTCAGTTTTCTTTATCTAAGACCAAGTGCTTTACATCTGCAGCAGAGAAACAATTTATTAGATGTTGGGCCTTTCACATATGTCACTACTAGAGCCGCATCATCAGCGAACAACAAATCGCGAATAAGTTGCGTACGAAAGTTTTTGGGTCTTGGCTTTTGAAGCGCTGATGATTGAAGAGACCACCAGTTGTTCGAAACTGAAAATTGACGCCACTCTCTGTGTCTACAAATGCATATTTCAGCATCACCAAGAAGAGAGGGGCAAAAAGGACCTTGCTTGGTGCCATCTGTGACATTAAAGGATTCCGACATCATACCATCAGACACGATATTAGCTTTCATGAAAGGAGATGACCTTTAGCATATTTTCAGGGATGCCAAAAAGCCTCTCGATTCACAGTGTCAAAGGCCTTCGTCAAGTCCACAAACATCATGTATAACTCCTGGTTTTTCTCGCGAACATTCCCTGCAAATTAACGAAGAGAAATTATCATGTCAATGGTGCCCCGACCCGACCAAAAACCACACTGCGATTCAGGATAGATGTCGTCAACAAGGTGTATAATGATTCTGTTTAGAATCAGTCTCGCTAGGATATATATATTGAGAGAGAGACGTCTAGTTATATATATATATATATATATATATATATATATATATATATATATATATATATATAAAGAGAGAGAGAAAGAGAGAGATATGGATGGATGAGAGAGATGATTATGCAAACTGTAAAAGTAATGCGTGTGTGCACTAAAAATGATATAACCATTTTATATGATTATTTAAATGTAACATACTTTTCTCTCCATCCCCCACTCAAAAACTCTCTCTCTCATCACACACACACACATTTTTCACACACACACACACACATATATATATATATATATATATATATATATATATATATATATATATATACACACATACACACACATATATATGTATATATATTGAGTGAGAGATGATTATACAAACTTTAAAAGTGATATCTGTTTGCACTAAAAATAATAATGTACCCATATTAATATGGAAGCAACAGAAATAGGCTGAAACAGACAGACAATATAGGTTGGTATATACAAACACTGACATGATAGATGTGAACTGACCGAGATACATAAAAAAATAAACTAAGGAAAAGAGTGGAATCGTTCCTTTCAATTCAGAGTCAATATAAGAATTCATTTTTCAAATATCACTTTGTAACTAATCCATTTTACTTACATGTGGACAACTTTCCCCCTTTCATGGATTGTCACAGCAGTTTTTACAATATGTGCTTGTATGTTGGCCTTTTACCCAATCCACTATCAGACGTGTAACTCTTTTTCTAACTTTCTGTTATATATTTCATCTTTTTTACCTTTCATTTTTGCGTCTTTACTTTTACATGATTTCACAAACCGATACAAAGCGTAGCGATTTCTATCATTGACAACAATCGAAGAAGAAAAAAATTACTTAAACCGAGAAAGTTTTTTTCTTAATACTTCAATGAATAGCGACGACTCAAGCAAAAATAAACAGCGAGCATTGTTATCTCTATCAATCAAATTATCTATTTGTCTCTTCATGTTTACACTTCGGTTTCCTATGGCTCTATCACTATGAATATCTTACCCACATTGCTAATATTTTTAACTTCACATTTTTTGATCTATCTATCTTCATGGATATGTACCCACATTGCTGCGACATTTCGCCCTCTCAAATCTATCTATCTATCTATCTATCTATCTATCTATCTATCTATCTATCTATCTATCTATCTATCGTGGATATCTACGCACATTATTAACATATTACACCCATACATAAATTTGTCTATCATCATGAATGTCTACGGAAATTAGTAAGAATTTTTACCCTCAGTTTTGATATATCCTCATGAATATTTACACACATTTATAAAACTTTTCACCGTCACATATTGTGATATAACAATTTACATATCATAATGAATATCTACACATATTTCTAAAACTTTCACCCTTACGTATTTAGATTCATATATCATCATGATTATCTATGCACATATCTAAATTTGTTCACCCTAACAAATTTGAGATATCATCATGAATATCTCCGCATATTTCTAAAATTTTCACCCTTACGTATTTAGATCTATCATCATGAATAACTATATACATTTCTAAATGTTTTCAGCCTCACATATTACATATAATCATGAATATCTACGGACATTGCTAAGACTTTTCACCCTCGCGTATATCAACTTCTCTCTCTCTCTCTCTTTATTTCTCTCTCTCTCTCTCTCTCTCTTTGTCTCTCTCTTTATTTCTCTCTAATTATCACTAATCATGAATATCTATCTATCTATCTACCGATTTGGCACTGGTTTTTCTTCATGATACCTCACGATTATTGATCATTTTTCTATTTAAATTTACTGCTTTTTTATTCATCATGTCTTGATGATTAAATATATGGAAGTACATAAAAAATGTAATGCATTATGATAAAAAGTACACTAAGTCCACACAGCAAATATTTATTTTTCAGTTTCCTGAGTAATTCACTTAAACCAACACTTCGCCATAGATAACAATAATACTTACATCACGCAATGAAAATTTCCGTACAACGAAAAAATTTTAGCAGGTCATGAATTCATTGTTTAACGATCATATGTGTGCCTGTCCACTCACACACACACACACGCACACTAATATATACTACAACATGTTTGACACGCAGACTAACTCTACACCTTTCTGACAATAGCTCAATTAGTTCTCATTTAAATATTCATGGAGACCTACCGGACACTATTCGGAAACTACTTGTCGATATCATTAATATAATAGCATCATCTACGTGCAAAAAAGGTTAAAAATAATGGAAGCCTTATTAATAAAAACAAACAAACCAACACTTAATAATATTAACTTTGAACATGAACATAATATCTTGACCGTGTTTTGAAAAATGAAAACATTTTATAAAACATACATGCAACAAACTATTTCTTATTTTAACAGTTAAAATATAATCCTTGAAAATAGCTAAACGTATAGCCGAAAGCGCTCAGATAAAAAGAACATTCGGACAGTTTTTTTATAATTTATCATCCGAAAAGAAAAAAATTAGATCGCATGAAAAATTGTATAAAAAACTAAATAAAAGCACCTTTTCTGTCGTTTTCAATGAAATGTGCATGAAAAAAGGAATGCTGCCTAAATAAAATATATATATATATATATATATATATATATATATATATATATATATATATATATATATATATATATATATATATCCACAAACATATGATTGGTGTATACTGAATACACACAATAACCAAAATTACTATTATATAAATATATAGAACGAATATAATTATTTATTTATAAATTACACAACGTAAATATATATATATAAATCATATAGTTATCTTCAAAATAATTATTTATATATATATATATATATATATGTCTTATATATATATATGATATAATTTTGAATATATATATATATATTTTTCTACATTTATATATATATATATATATATATATATATATATATATATATATACCATTTTGTGTGTGAAAACAAAATATTAAATTCATCTAACTGCACCTTGTAAAATCGACAATATCTATATATACTTCGAATAAGTGATTTTGGAAAATAAATCTATTATATATATATATATATATATATATATATATATAAACCATCTGGAAAGACCGCATGACAATAATGGTTCGAATAGATAAAGAAAAATATGTAAATTTGAAATGAAGACGGGTGCAAACGTACACACACAATCACTACAATCATTCATGCAGACAGACTTTAAAGTTATAGCATCAAAATCAGAATAATGTTAAATAAAGATACGAATCTATATGTGAAAACCTGTGAAATCACCTAACACTCACAATATGTCTAGTTTAAATAAGAAATTTGTAGAATGGTGTGTTATTTTTCAATTAAAGAATGAAATTCTACACAAGATAGGATTTCATTGCATGAGGTATTTACTTCCATTTTGGTTACATAATGACTAACACACAGACACGAAAGCAAGTAAATGGATATCATAATAATTTTGCCAGCATTTTTTTTTTTCTGTTGGGTTCAGCATATAGATATTTCAACAACTTGATTTTTATGGGTGTTGTTTATATTTATGTGCATATGTAAGATTCATGACAATGTTGATTTATTGGTTTACTGTGTTTTCATGAGTATCTCTATGCCTATGATTTTGCCATATTAGCTGCATAATTGCTCGCCTCCTTACTCTTTAACTCTCAATCAGCAGCAGTGCTTTTGGTAATGAGAAAAATCTTATATAAAAAAAAACTTTACGTTCGCTTTGAAAATCTATTACGAATATTAATAAATTTCTAAGTTAAGGTACAAAGTATCTTCTAATATGTGGCATACATACATATATTTTGGAAGGAGGTGTAGTTAAAAAGCGAGTTCACACCAAGCAAGATTATATAATCACTAGGATACATGGGGTTATTGTGTGTGGAAGAATTAGAAAACAGAAACATTACTAAGGAGCGGGAACAACGGAAGGATAATCAGTAGTGAATCAAAGAGCGATTGACATTTCGTTGTGTGTGTGCGTGTGCGCACGTGCGTACATGTGTGTGTGTTTAGGTTACGGATGTAGAGGTGTCTATTTTTCTTGAAAAACAAGTGATTTATGATTCTCAGTTCATGAATAGAATGTGAAATATTATATTTAATAGCGTCTCTTGTGTTTATTTAGGTAGAAATAATTCAATTACTTTTAAGTATCTAAAATGTAACTGGACAATTTAGAGTAAAGTGTACATATATTTACATAAATATATATATGAATCAGCAATGCGATAACATTCATGAATATATTGTTTGTTTCTTTCAAATGAATGATTTTACTAAAGTTCCTACTAAGTTATAGACTACGATTGTCACCGAAGAAAATAAAAACTACAGATCAACCAACAATTCCATCTACTGATGTAAATTTGGTTCTCTATATATAATGTGTGGATCTGTATGTCTGTCTGTAGCTTTGTAAGGGAGAATGAGCAATCGATTTTAAATTATACTCAATGTAAAGTTTGTTTTTTGTGTTTTATTTCATGAATAGAAAAATTTTTCTCATGTGACAATTTTGTGTAACATATATATATATATATATATATATATATATATATATATATATATATATATATATATTCATCAGTACATGATGTGTGTGTGGTATTCTGTATGTGTTTGTGTGTGTGTGCGATCCTTATGGTGCATTCATATTTCAATGCATATATGAAACAATCTAACTTTTTATATTTCTTTTGTTTCATAGCTATTGCGAAGAAACCTCTCTAATTTACAGATATACTGAATTGTATGCATACCTTCTGAGAGATTTCTATTCACATAATCAATGTTCAAAATTAAGAAACAGTGAAAGGATATACAAATACAAACTGATAAGTATATCTAAAAGATGCATTTTGTAACTAAATATTCCATCCATGGAATTTTATTGATATACGCAGGAATATATGTGTTTTACCTTATTTAATTCTGCTTCTGAATTTATTGTTAAATTATATTCAGTGCATATCAGGTTAATCCCTATCTCATATTCAGCTCTTAACACTTTTCTTATAACAACTTTGGCTGAGTCTCTGATGTTACACATAATAATTAAACTTTGCATAAAATAATGAAAAATCAATTACACAATCTGAAGGTCATTAAAATTCCTCGTGCAGCCTATACCCGGTTAAACATCGAGATATCAGATTGATTTTAAATGACATAGGTGATAGTTTTATATTGTCAAATGTGTGCCATTATATTTTATATAACAATGGTTTTTCATCTCAAGATGTGTATAAAATCAGACTTATAGTATAAGACCACAAACATATACAGAGATGAGAAACAAAGTTTCACCACATAATAAAGTATACCTCATACAGAATAATACCAACAATATATGTATACGTTCTTTTATAGTTAAAATGAAGATTTTCATGACCATATAGTGCAAAGCATAAATCGTTTAGAGAATATTATTTATTGCAATGAATCTTTTTTATATTTGTAATGTTCTGAATTTATTGTTTTCTTCTGTAATGTTCTGAATTTATTGTTTTCTTCTGTAATGTTCTGAATGTATTTTTTAGTTTTGCAATGCTTTGTTACATGTTCCCTGACTAAACACAAATGCATATATTTCACCTGAGAGCTCATGCAATGAAACACACACGTATGATTACCGATCATTCTCAAGTTTGAAAACACGTGTAAAGTACACTAGTACATGCTATTCAGGTACTATTCTATTTAATAGTGCATTCTATTCAGGCATAAGAAAAATCCGCAATATTCCATTATCATGCTTCGTGTAATATCGACAAAACAAATGTCAACTTCCTAGAATTTAATAAAATTCTATAATTAAATGCAGTGTCTATATAATATGCGCACATATTTAAATCACATGTACTTATCGTTTTAACTTTACCAAAAATTTTTCATATATACATATTGCATTTTAGTCAATCTTATACAGACACACACACACACATACATACATACATATATATATATATATATATATATATATATATATATATATATATACATACATATATATATATACACATACATATATATATAAACACACACACACATATATATATATATATAATATATATATATATTAAACATTTTGATATACGTTCTTAATTTAAATAATCTAGACCAAATTAAGTTCGTAATGTTATAAAAGTGAAATATAATGTATAGTTTATTCAAATGTAACATAATGTTCTCTTTTCATCTCAAAATTTTAAGAGTAAAATGTGTGCACTAAAAATAATAATGTACCCACATTAATAAGGAAGCAACACAAATAGGCTGAAAGAGTCAGGCAATGTAGGTTGTTATATACAAATGACTTGATACAGTATGTGAACTAAGCGAGATAAATAAATAGAAAAAATAAGAAAATTTTGTGTGGAATCGTTCATTTACAATATATATATATATATATATATATATATATATATATATATATATATACAACGCCAGTTATTTATGTTTGATTTGGTGATAAATATTTTAAATAAAACACCGGGGAAAATTTGTGTTATGTCATTCCAGTTACTTCATCATCTTATTTGTTGGTGGTTGGGGATTATTCGGAGAAATGTGCGAATGATTCAAAATATGAATGAAATAACAAAGAGAAAAAAACTGAATTCAATGACTTGTTGTTCATAGGAATAAAATACGGAAGATTAAAATTAAAATCAAAGGAATACTCCTGGAAAGAAGAATGGAATAAAAACGGATAAAAATATACCAGAAAAAATGAAAATGATCCAAGGCAAACACAGAATA